TCTCAACAAAAACACCGTGGAGAAGGCAACGTGAAACAAAATAAGTATTAGAGATAACGGCATGGAGGGGATAAAGTTCACGGGGGGGGTAACTACTCAATCATTATGGGAGAACGCGTGCTACTAGTGTTACATGGCCATCCTCCAGCTTTTGTTCTAAAATGTATATAAAGAAGAACAGTATAAAGGGTAATACGTTTGTTGCCAATGCATCCGCGCCCTGTATGGATAGAGATAATCGACAAGTATCACCGGGCCGTACACCAGCAATTGTTCCCAAGAAAGATATAAATAAGGAAATGGATCATAAGGACACAACGGCAATGTAACCAGCTAAAAATTATCATAAAAAGAAAGGTATAGACTAAATGTTAACATTTTAGGCATATGTGAAGCTAGGCTGGTAAGCAACGGTGTTTACTTCAGCGAAGCATATAGGATAACATTTGCAGGCAGAGAGATAAATGAAAGAGGTGTAGGGTTAATACATGACGTGGAGAAATGTGTTTTGGGATATTGCCAAATTTCAGGTAGAATCCTGTTAGTTAAAACGAAGGAAATGCACTTCAACATAGCAATTATTATTGTATACGCACCGACAGCGTTGAGCACGGAGGATGAAACTGATAACATTACAACTTACTGGACATCGCCAAGGTTCAATGTAAATCACAGGAAATCAATATCATCATGTGAGACAATGTCGGAAAAGAACATAAAAGCGAAATAATTGGTATGTTTGGAGGGAATATGTGTTCAGTGGTGCACAGCAAATGATAAAATAATTACCAAAGCCTGATTTCAAGATTATTCAGGACGCCTGCAGAAATGCAGAAATTATGGAGGAGACAGGAAGAACCAGATTGATTATGTAACTATCAACAATAGATTAAAAAGCGCGGTTATATGCTGCAAAACATACCCAAGTGCCGACTGCAGAAGCTAGCATCTGTCAGTTGTATATTACGTAAAAGTAAAAGTACAAAAACTAAAGAAGACCAAAGCTACACTTAAGCTGCAACACAATTGATATCCTGAAGGACCCAAGTTGCAAAGAGACGCACTAAAACAGCTATGAATAAATATAACCTGAGCGAGAATACAAATTAAAAACGGATCTTGTTGTGAGAAACACTAGTAAAGGCAGCAAATGAGATCATCCCAATAAAAACGAACGAAAGAAACATGTGGAAGAGAGATGACAAAAAAAAAAAACAGTAAACGATGCCAAGAAAAGGAAAAGAGTAATGTAAACAGGCTAAAGAGGAATGGTGCAACGAAAAGTGTGCTGAAATAGAGAGAATGAACAACAATTACAGCGATTATGCCAACAGAATCAAATAATTGCCAGGACGAAGACTGATCCAATCAGCAGGTACTATAAAAATCGAGGAAAATATCAGTGATAACAGAAAAAGAAAAAAATATTCTAAAGATGCAGCCAGAGGACTCTTCCTCTATGCGAGAGAGAAACGCTTGGAAAGTGTCGAAAATATTAAAATCTGATGTAAGACCAGGCACTGTACAAGATGAACCTGAGCACATCAGCAGGACAAAAAAATCTTAGGCCATTTCAGCATTAAAAAAATCATACGAATCAAAACAAACATACAACAGTGGCGAAATACCGGAGGATCTCATTAAACCATATGCATAACAATACCTCAAAAAAGCAGGTACAACTGAATATGAGCTTCATCTGACAATCATCTTAACGAAGCTAATGGGAATATTGATGGATAGAGTGTGAAACCAAATTAAAAGAGAAATCGGACAAGAACGGTGGGATTTTGTCAAGGACAATGGGACAAGAATTAAGTTTTATAGAATCTGAGAAGTACTTCACAAGAGAGTATTCGAACAGTTCGAAAATAGATTTATTTGGAAAGGATGTTAGAATAATGCAGAACATATATTGGGAGTAAACCACCGGAAGACGAAAAAAATATTAATTTAGTCACACCACAAAAACAGAAATGGGCTTTAGACAAGGAAGTGTCTTCTTCTCAGCGAGGCTATAATACAAGAGCTGGAGATTGTACCAGGATTTATTATCCGTGTACGTAATCTTAATATAAGATATGAATAACCATCAACTACAAGAAGACAGCAAGTAAGAGAAAACTCCGAAGTTGCGAACTCCGAATTGAAGATGTCGACATGAAACGTGTATAGGGGTTTAAATATCTGGGAAATATTTTAGCAGCGTCTGTAGAATGCGACACCGAAATTCGTACAAGCATTGGATACATTGCAAAAGCTAAGAAAGTACCAAAAACAGAAAGAATCGTTAGAAACAAAGAAAAAAGATGCTGGAAGGCTATAAGATATCCATTGTTTTATATGGCAGTAAATGCTGGACAATCTCTCCACAACCGAAGAAGAAAATGCAAGCAACATGTCGTTGTATAGAGAGAAGCCAAAAACTCCATGGATTGTGTGAATAAGCAACAAGGAATTCTTAAACGAAACTTCCATAAATAGATACCTATACTCATAATCAGAAAGAGACAGTAGAGATTTATTGGACATTTTTTAATCGAATTCACCCCATGCAAAACAGTAATGCCACCGAGACAGAAGAGGTTACTCGGAGTGGAATAATTAGTAACAGAAACATTACTAATGAGCGGAAAAAGAAAAGATTAATCAGGAGGACAGTAGATAGTAATTGACATTCCATTTAATTTTTTGCAGATTAAAGTTGAGAGGAAAGTATGGAGCCGGAACGGAATTCTACAAGCGACAAGTGCGAGAAAACTATAGAAGTTTCGGTTGCATCTAGACAGTTCAATTGTAAATTAATAAGATCTATACACCAGTCCCGTACTGCGCCTAAATTCAAAAAGTCAAGTTACCATAGTGAAGTCTCCCTCCGAACAGTTAACATGAAATTTATAGAAAAGACACAGGAACTCAACTTTACGACGGTTTGAAAGTGACTGAAACGAATCTGCCAGATCAGGACCGATACTAAGGAAGAAAGTGGGCTAGGAAAACGTGACACTCTCAGGGAATATAGAAGAGCGTAGAAGAAATAGCGGAATGTTTCAAGCCACCTACCTGACGGTTTTAGTTGAATGGTTGGTGGAACGGAGACGGGAAGTTTATTAAAATGGCAGAAACTGCTAAAGGATAAGTAATTTGGGAGAGCCATAGTCGTCCATGTTCTGAGGTACATTACATATAGTGGAATTATAGAGTTCATATGGAACTTATTTTCAACATCATATATATATATATATATATATATATATATATATATATATATATATATATATATATATAGTTTCGCAGAACTTAACGCTAACATTCTTATCAAATTGCCATTAGTGTACTAAAGAATCATTGTATTATCCTAACCTGTTACGATCTAATTTGACCACTTACCCGCCGTACATTTGTATTTCACCTAGTTTATAGACGTAGAGAGATATGTGCACTTTTACATGGCAGTGTGCATTTGCAAGCGTATTATGAAAACTTCATAAGTAAACAGTGCGCAGACAGATACAGTTCTGTGAATAGTGTACAGGTCTCTGCATTCATGCATTTCGTACACACGCACACACAGAGTAGTTACTCCGATAAGGAAAGGTTAAATTCCAGAACATGGCGCCTCCATCAATTATTAATAAAACTCGCTCAAGGTGCGTAAATAATAAGTTGTTCGCTAACTTTGACCTGTACAGAAATATGTTCGAACATTTCTTCTTTCAACACATCACACAGGTAAGCATGCTGCTAATAAATTGATGGAGCTAAGTGGTATGAAACATCTATTATGGCAGACAGCTCAGTCGCTGCCTTGATCATTGGAAATCACACAATCGATTTAACAATATTTCCTTTTGTCAGCGTCTACGCAGGAAACATTCAACGAGCATATACTGAAATGTCAGTCTGATAGTATGATATTAGTTATATATATATATATATATATATATATATATATATATATATATATATATATATGCACACTGGTGTTTGGATAAGAGTATACACTTTGATGTCTTTCTTTAATATGGAGTGAGCGAGAAGTTGGTCATGAGTGATTCGAAGCATATAAACTTTGAATTAAATGTTGTAAATGAGAGTTATGTAGTCAAATTATTATTTATTAAATTGCACACACACATATATATATATATGTATGTGTGTATATATATATATATATATATATGTATATATATGTATGTGTATATATATATATGTATATATATGTATGTGTATATATATATATGTATATATATGTATGTGTATATATATATATGTATATATATGTATGTATATATATATATATATATATATATGTATATATATATATATATGTATATATATGTATGTGTATACATATATAGATGTATGTGTATATATATATACATATATATGTATGTGTATATATATACATATATATGTATGTGTATATATATATATATATATGTATGTGTATATATATACATATATATGTATGTGTATATATATATATATATATATATATATATATATATGTATGTATATATATATATATATATATATGTATATATATATACATATATATATATGTATGTGTATATATATATATATATATATATATATATATGTATATATATATATATATATATATATATATATATATATGTATATATATATATATATATATATATATATATATGTATGTATATATATATACATATATATATATGTATGTATATATATATACATATATATGTGCATATATATACATGTATATGTGTGTTTGTATATATATATATATATATATATATATATATATATTTAGTTGTATGGATGTGAGTTTGTAACACTAGGTTTCACGCTTTTGCGATTATCAGTATCTTGAATGCTTGCAAAAGGTACGATCCGAAATGCTAGAAATATGAAGTTATTTAAAAGATTGCAAATAATGGTGTAACAAAACACTAAATATTAGAAAAAAATATAGATATTTTCTTACTTTTTATCTTTTTTTATTTATTTGTCTAATCAACCGAATGGAACTTTTGATAGATAGATAGATAGATAGATAGAAAGAATGATTGACTGATTGGTAGATCGATAGATATGAAGATAGATCGATATATAGATAGAATGATTGACTTTGATAGATCGATAGATATGAAGATATATAGATAGCTAGAATGATTGATTGATTGATAGATCGATAGATATGAAGATATATAGATAGATAGAATGATTGATTGATTGATAGATCGATAGATATGAAGATATATAGATAGATAGAATGATTGATTGATAGATCGATAGATATGACGATAGATAGATAGATAGATAGATAGATAGATAGATAGAATGACTGATAGAACGATAGATGTGAAGATAGATAGAATGATTGACTGATTGATAGATCGATAGATATGAAGATAGATAGATAGATAGAGTGATTGACTGATTGATAGATCGATAGATATGAAGATAGATAGATAGAATGCTTGACTGATTGATAGATCGATATGTATGATGATAGATAGATAGATAGATAGATGTTGATAAAGAATAATTTCAATATTCACTACAGCCAGATTATACTTTTACACTTTCTTTATCGGAATCGATGAAGAAAGACAGCTTCCTTCTATAATGAATCTGTATGTTTATTCCGTAATAAGTAAAGCATTATGTGAAATGTCTTCTATCTCTTCTACAAGATTGTATCATTAACAGGGATTCATCGAGTAGCTCCATGGTGTCTCTTAAAATCATTAGACTTTTTCCTGCTCTCTTTAATGCCTGTATAGGTTCTATACAGATTTCTGCTAAGACCGCTAGGTATATTTCCTACTAAAACTTGCCCGGAATGCAGAACCCTATATCTTTATACCCAAATACTAATAAAGGAGAAATATTTAACGGGAATATTGATGTCAAGAATAGAACGAATTCTAAATAGAATGTTTCAAGATAGAAGGAAATAGAAATATCTAACATGTCACAGAGCGGCATACAAATTTTGATTCTATTTTACTAATGTACGTGAATTAGAAGGCTGAAGAGACACTCAAGGCAGAGGGTTACTGAATGTAAGAGTAGAATGTAGGAGGTGAAGATTATCAGGATATGGAAGAGAGGTAACGAATGACCATTTAGTTGAAATGTTGAACGCTGTAAAGTTTAAGAGTGATTTCCGTGCTGGATTCTCCCCTAACACACTAGAAACGTTTCCCTAAAAGGTAAACGCTGAAGCAACTGCTTTGTTGAAATAAAACAGCGGTTCCAGCGAAAAAGCCTTTCGTGTGGAGCTTCTTCGTTACAAATGGAATATTTAGGGAATGATAGTTTTTCGACAATGGGTATAAAGCGAGTATTAGCTGTAATGGTCGGAACTCTTGGAATTACAAAATGGAAGTCATCCGAGTAGTTCCATCAAAATATCAATAAAGCAGCGATAGAAGATAGTTTGTTAGCCAAAGTTTGAGCCCAAGCGGAAATTGGAACTACCACAGCCAAACAAGGGTAGAAATTTAAATGAATTGTTTTAACAGAGGACAGAATGTGTGACACTGAAATCCGAGGACGAAATGAGATAGCCGAATGTGCATTCTAAAAGCTAAGCAGAGAAATAAAAAAAAATAGAAAAATGTCTTTAAAAAGCAAGAAAATGAGTGCTAAAATTTTACGTGATATCTGTTTTTCTGTATTGCAGTGACTGTTGGACAATATCCTCGAAGATTAAGAAACTTGAAGCATTAGTAATGTGGTTCTACAGAAGGATGCTGAGTATAGTAGGTACTGAACATGTGAGCAACGACGAAGTTTTAGAGAAAATGAGAACAAAAAGGAAAATTATACTTAACATCACGAAGAGACAATTGAAATTTCTAGAAAAACCTGATACTCACGACAAGGGCTGAAGGCAAGAGGAATAAGAGAAAACAACACATCATCTATTTAGTGACCTTCAATAAATGGATGGCCGACCAAGTTTTAGGAGAAATAACAGAAGGACAAAATTTATTAAGAGACTCAAAGAACTGGAAATTGTGGAGAGCCATGACGTTTACGTCCCGGGGAAACATGGCGCATAAAGAAGACGAAACGTAAATGTTCACCCAGTTATTATTGGCACACCGAAATGTTGCTTAACTTAAATGAAAACTTACTCGGGTCGTTAATACAAAAATCCACTATTACTTCCAGAAGAGCTTGCAGAAAAAAAGCAAACATGAAAACATATGCTGGAATTGGCTGTGATTTTAATTCGCTTGCACTAGTCTGCCTTCTTTGGTGACCTTTGCACTAACCTCGCGAGCCATTACAGCATCCTGCGCTCTTGTAGTCGGAAGTATTTGAAATATCAGCGAAAGAAACGAAAGTATGGGCATGGTTGCCATGATACTTCCGTCATTATGGCCCGTTCGTCTTTTACATGGCTCATTATTCCATAATGGAGACAGGAATGTTTCTGGAAAGTACAATTTTAATATATATATATATATATATATATATATATATATATATATATATATATATATATATGTGTGTGAGAGAGAGAGAGAGAGAGAGAGAGATTGGTAGGATGATGAAAAGTTGTTGGATCGACCAATATGTTCTATCGTAAGCATCAGGCTACATGTTGGGAAGCTGGTTTTGCAGAGAAATTTTCTGAATACCTTCGCATATTTAATACGTATATATAAATACGTTATGGCTATAAATATAATCAGATAAATTCGCATCATTGTCGCAGCACAATCTTCTTGATTTATATTATACCTAGACAAAGCTGACCTTTGTAATATTTCCTATTTTCTATCTCAGTGTATATATATATATATATATATATATATATATGATAAATTCTAGTTTTAAGGTATGCTATATTTATGAGTTAAAGTGCTCAATATCAGGGACAGAATGTATGTAAATATAAAATGGACATTGAAGTAAGCACCCAGAGGCGACTGTCTATTTAATGCTTAAACGCAATCGTCAGGCCCTAGGAGAAAATTTCTGAGGACTGTGTTTAAGCATGAAACAGACTATCGCTACTAGGCGTTGACTTTAATGTACACTTTTAATATATACAATGTGTAACAGCAAAATTGTCCAAATCGTATTACAGCATAATCGTCCATCCAACAAAACGTTTACTATCTAAAATCTACCAAACTAAGTGCCGTTTGTGGACGTTTTCAGATTTCAGGTTTAGCCATCTTGATACCTTTTGTCGTAAGAATCACTGAAAATCCCCTTTGATTTATTCAGCTAGAAAGATGAGAGTTTAAAATCATTTTGTGTCAGTCAGCCATACTATCTTCTTCACTAAGCAGTGTTGAGAAGAAAAAGTTCGTTCACGCCTTCCATTATGATGACAAAATTCATCCTCTGTCTTCCATCTTCAAAATCAATTCAAGAACAATCAAGATAACGGTGAATGTTTAAAAAAGAAGGGAAGAGTAGAAAGGAAAACTGGATCAGGAGGTCACAAGAGAAAGAGAGATCCTCATTTCAGCTTAGAACTAAAGAGATCAATTAGAAAAAGATTCAGCTCAATTTATAAGATGTTTGGAACGTGAGAGAAGAGTTTCAGCTATGACAGTTCAAAAAGCAATGAAAAAAACTGGAAAATTAAATCGTACGTGAAACGTATGAGGCACCTTCTTACTCCAGGCCAGAAAGTTAGAAAGTTAGTGAGAGTGAAGATAATATTGAATAAGTTGGAAAATGATCTTGAATATATATATATATATATATATATATATATATATATATATATATATATATATAAACTTCCTATCACTCCTTCATAATCTTTCGACCTTTAGCTCTGATTAATTATTGATGAACATGATATTTTTGTTTATGATCGATTTCTTGTATTAAACTTAGAGAGTAATTATACATTGTTATTGCTCAACGTAGAGTCCAATAGTGTTATAAAAATCTCGGGGAATTCCAGTAAGATATGTTTAATCATTTCTAAGATGCAACGGTTCAAATCTTAATCTAACATTTTGGACAATTTTGGTATTAAACAATTTGGAGAATTTTGCTGTTACACCCGATATATATATATATATATATATATATATATATATATTGCTGTTACACCCGATATATATTTTAGTGAAACATCCCCATTCCATTCGTACATCATTAGTGATAAGTAAGTTCCATTCGGGCGGCTTCTTCCCACGAACCGCTAATTTGTGGAACCAACTCCCAAGTGGATGCTTCCGCGACCACTACAATCTTAATATTCTCATATCTTCTCCACATATCCTCATTAACTCCGCCTCTTATCGCGCACAAGACACGCTCCTTCAGTAACAACTACATCGAGTGGCACTTGGTTTTATACACAGTGAATATTATTAAAAAAGAAAAGAAGTATTAAACATAAGCAGATAGACGTGGTCATTGGTAAGAATGACAAGCCAAGTTGTGAAAAACGAATTTAAAACATCAGAATCATGCAAAAAAGGAAATTTGACTAGAGAGGTAGAAAAATGTGATGCAAATTGCATTTGAATAGTGAAAGATGTTAACCAGGGATTAGACAATGTATCAAGACGTAGGAAAACGTAATTAAAACAAACAAAATAATGGAACATAATATGTATATTTCTCTATGGCAGAGAATGCTGGATAATAAACACAAAGATGAATTTCAATTATTATTCGAAGAATTATTAATTTTTTTTTTTTTTGAGAAGGACTGCCATCTTTCCTACATAAACTGCGCTTCCTGTCTTCTCTTGCGTTCATACAACACCACACAGTAACTCTGTAACTTGAGTGGATCTCGGGCCTTGTAATGGATGAACATTAATAAAAACAATGTAGAAAGAACGTTTCAAGACCAGTTGATTATCGGCTGAAGATGATTAATGTCCAATACGACCAGAAAATGTGAAATATATTTGAGAAATTATCCACGGGCATTGTCTCCAAAAATATCCATCACATTCCACATAATTGGAAATTATGACGCCTTTGGTTAAACATTCTGATACTACAAATTGGGAGAACTATAAAAAGCCACTTTACGCTGAACGATGAAATAACTGCACCTGAGAAAGAAAGCAACTGATGCATTTGAATCTGGAAAAAAAATCAAGTCTGGCCTCAAAATGGACTTATCAACAGATGATAGTCTACAATGTCTGTGTGCTGACGTGCCTTGTATACATGGGTTGTGTAGCGCAGACACTTGTTTTTCTGTGGACAGGCCCGCCTATCGTCCGGTTCATACCCTCCCCTATTTTTAAACAGGATTAGAGGTTAGTGCTTGTTTTTTAGAATTGGGTTTTCAGTTCTTTCAGCACTGTACTTCTGGCTTCTCCTGAAATCTGAAATCTGTAATTATTATTTTTTCCTCCCTCAATAGGAGTAGATATGTTTGCCTATCTTCGTCTTTTGAAAAGAAGAGGTTTATCCCTTGTTTCCTGTTTAGAATTGGGTTTCCAATCCCTCTAATGTCTACTTCAACTTATACTCTTAACGTCCCCACGTTAACTTTGAAATTTTATTCGTTAATTATATCTTGACCTCATCATTTCTTGAATTATCTGTCTAAATTTCCTATTATCTTGCTCTTTAGACGATAATACAACGGTATACAATAACGTTCTACCTTGAGTGGAACTTGAACTTTGTATTGGTTGAAAATTAGTAAAAAATACTTTTTTAAGAATGATTTTTCGTATCCAGTGCATATCTCACACGCCAGACACTGCCCTCCCAAAGGCTAGTGCAATCAGGATCGAAAAACACATTTATAGCCACATGTATTGCTGGTCAGGCAATCATCTTGAAGACTATGAAATACCCAAGCAGATACTTTACGCCAAACTGGTCTACGGCACTCACCCCCGCATAACACAAGGATGAGCTTCAAGGACTGTTACGGATTTGCCATATGGAAGACCCTTAGTGGACAACTGTTTCTTCTGATCGAAATAAGTGTAGGCGTACAATTCATAAAGGCACTTCTAAGGATATGCAATGAGTTGGGAGATTGTCAAGCATGCAGCTAGATAAGTTAATCATTGATCCAGCAATCCATCAATTTATATGTGATAAATGTGTATGAGACTGAATCTTCAATGTAGGTTTCGTTAGCCACAAGAATACTTATAGTGATATACCTTTGACAACTTAAGATCACTACTTAGCTGGGAATAAACATGCGTAGCGTGTTAGAAGCCACGGAGAAACTGTCCCAGTCTCACCAGTCACAGGAAAATCTACGAGGAACCTGAAAACAGTTTACAAAACAGGCCAGGCTCTGTACACAAAAACTTAGTTTGTTGCATCTGCATTAAGCATTGCAAATCGCTTTCTAGCTTCAAGAACCATTGTCGTTCCTACGAGTACTAAAATCATTGATCAAACTTATTTGACATTGACAGCCATCTTTTATGCATAATTACTTTAAATGTTACATTTTGTGAATATAGCTGTTCGAGTAATTATCAATGATTTTTAGTGTAAATTTATATGTATAGACCTGTCCATTCGGGAGCTTTCATGAAGAAAAAATTCGAACCTGCCTCCTCCTATAGAGGAAACGGTCCTCTGGCAAGATCTACTTTAGATCGCTCAACCAATATGTAACCAGCAAAAATCTATATACTATACTGGCATGATGCAGCCCTTGACGAGTAAATGTGCTTCAAAAATCCTAGGAAAACAATTTTGAATTGGATATGCAACAACTTCAGTACCTGTCTATATTTCTGAGATGAGGTATTATGTACATTATTTACAACCACCTGAAGAAGACCTGAGCGTACAACGGCCGAAACGTTGTAATAAATATGGCGACAAAGATGAGGACACTAGTCCGAATAATGTAAATAATATGCAATAACTTATTCGAAAATTGAAAAACATACAGTCAAAAATTAAATAAGTCACAGCTCGTCGGTTTAAAAAAACTTGTTTAATATATAAGGAGATGGAAAAATGGAAAAAAAACTTCAACATAACAATTCGAGTTTAATAAAAAAAAAAAGTAAGCATAGATATATAATCATGAATAGACAGGTCAAAATCGACTTAGATATATGCGATTGCGATGATATTGGTAAGAGCAGAGAGTTTTGACCAGAATGCTCTCGATAGACTCTTTAAGTGCATTCACACATTTACGTTGATAAACATTAAAAACCAGGCGATAAAGCCGAGGTACTTCAGAGATTGCAGTATCGAGTAACAATTGGTTGTCTGTCCACTTCCGACATTCGAAATCTCTTCGTCCCTATCCCATTAGTCAGTGACCAGAAAATAGGAAGGCCAGACACCACCATCCGTGACTGTGACATTAGCCCGAGGATGAAATTCACATTTTGTTTGAATTTGTTTTCCCTTCTCCTGCATACCCACCCGACGTGATTGCTGCTCGCCCTGAACTGAAGTCACGTTAGCCAGAAGAAGAGACATTGTTGCTTGAAAGTCCAGCAGTGACTTTTCAATAGAAACAGAGTTAAAGTTTACAAAAGGACATTACTTTCTTGGCTGATACATTTAGATTCAATTTCGAAGGACCAGCGAACGCATATTTCATCAGGGTATTGCAGTACATGTTTACTTTTTACTGTAATTCGTGGACAACGTCTTGACTGTGCATTAAATATAAAAAAAAACATTTTTTTTTACAAATTGTTTCCACAATGCAAGATCCAAGAACCTCTCAATGTAGAACTTTAATGAATGAGATTGTTATATTAACATTAAGGTGGGAGGTAAAAGGTGCAGATTATGAGGATATGTAGAAATGATAATCATTGACTGTTGTCTTGCAGAGGTTGAAACTGTAGAGATTAGGGAAGCATCCCCTCGGGAGTATGTTTGACAAAATAGTGGCTCTTGGGAAGTAGTTGTTCCAATAGAATTTTTTTTCCGGTGGGATTTTCGTGTTATGTCGGGTCTTAGCTGTGAAGTTCTGAACTGGTGGAAATAAAAATTGTACTTTAGTCAGAACACGTGACATGGAAATAGGGATGACAGAGAAAAGAGGTTTGCGAAATTTTGTCTATGAAAAAGGGGCGTGGATTTGAAAAAAATAATCACTCACAAAATATGGTGTCATTACTCGATTTCTTTACTCTTGTAAATAGATTTTTTAATTTATCTTGTAAAGATTTTTTACTCTTGTAGATAGGGTATGAGAGATTGAAACAAGTATTTACTGGATTAATAGAAGGAATTGGTAATTTTGTCATTATCTTTAGCGATGGACATGAGTTCCATGTGAGATTTAGCGTAAGCTTGAAATTTATATGTCTATTAGGTATTCAAGCCAAAAAGAAATAACGACGATTCTATTTTCCATGATCTCCAGCACAAGACTGCCACAATTTGAAGACATCTCTGGATAATGATACATATTGTACTAGCTCCTAGTATCTGTATATTTCTGAGATGAGTTATTATGTAGACTATTTACATTATTCGGACTATTGTCCTCGTCTTTGACGCCATATTTATAACAACATTTCGGCCATTGTACGCTCTGGCCTTCTTCATGTGGTTGGAATGTCGAACTGAACCATTTATTTCGCTCATTGGGGTAGACTGTTCTAGTTCTACGTGCCGTGTATAATGAATGTCAGTTATCAGTTATCTGTCTTCAAGGACACATGACACAGTGGATAAAGGCGTTGGTTACATCCAGTGGCAGGACCCAAAAAGTGTGTGTTCAATATCCGGTTAAGGCCGTGGAGAACTTGGAGAGGGGAATTAACAGGAGAGAACTGATCGGCCGAAACGTTGTAATAAATATGGCGACAAAGATAAGGACAATAGTTCGAATAACGTAAATCGTGTTCTTTCACTGAGTTATTTAAATGTCATATGGCATACATGTTTGGGTGATCATGTCTCTTTCGGTTCATGACTGACTGGGCAGACGATTTGACGTTACTTTCTGCGGTAGAATGTTTACGAAACAAGGCCATCGGACCCAATATACCCTGCTATTAAATCTAGATGGAGAAAAGATGGATTCATTCATTTACCAAGAGTATTTGAGCATGAATGAATGTAACGAACCCGACTGAAATTCAAACTCTGCGATTTCTTATTCCAAGCCAAAATCCATTCTGCCACATTTTGTACCACTTGTTCTTATTTTTTCGTTAGCAAATGTGTAGTTGGTAATCCTTGTGCATCAATCCATTGTTAGGAATTGAACAGTATTGGTTCATTTTGGGGGATGAAAATGCAACTGAAAATGAATGGCCGACAACGAAATATATACGTTGGAAAATCGTGAGGCAAACACAACATCAATGAAGAAACAAATTATCCCGCTTTTCTAAACGCAAAACCACTGTAGAAAAGAGTCAAAATTCCTGTGAAGGGCAAACTGAGACACGAGAAGGGTAATTGACACTGACACGCACAGTCTGAATTCTCGGTTAGACTTCTGTCATTTTCTCTTCTGTTGGTGCCAGTTAATTAAATATCTCGACCACCACGTCCTTGACCAACGCCGACTCACAACTTGTTCCCGACTGTGGCCTAGTCACACGGACTCAAAAACTGGTTCCCGACTGTGGCCTAGTCACACGGACTCTCAACTGGTTCCTGACTGTGACCTAGTCAGGCGGACTCTCAACTGGTTCCCGACTGTACACTAGTCAGGCGGACTCTCAACTGGTTCCCGACTGTACACTAGTCAGGCGGACTCTCAACTGATTCCCGACTGTACACTAGTCACGCGAACTCTCAACTGGTGCCCGACTGTGACCTAGTCAGGCGGACTCTCAACTGGTTCCCGACTGCAGCCTAGTCACGCGGACTTTCAACTGGTTCCCGACTGTGACCTAGTCAGGCGGACTCTCAACTGGTTCCCGACTGTACACTAGTCAGGCGGACTCTCAACTGGTTCCCGACTGTGCCCTAGACACGCGGACTCTCAACCGGGTCCCGACTGTGGCCTAGTCACATCAGCAGATATATTTGTCCTCTCTTAATGTTATTCGACATTATTCTGTTCCTTGTCGGCCATGTAGCAATATTGCCACCAGCAAACAACGGAAATAGTGACTGTCCTTTGTATATTATTGATCGCGTTCTACTATACAATCATAGCATTAGTTCCGACCATAACCATTACCACCACATCTTGACATCGTGACGTATTTACCGGGCAAGATCTACATAACTGTTAAATGAGGGGATATCTTCGATTTTTTTAAACCGTCAAATTAGTATTTACCGGCCTATAGACCAAACGTCTTACTAAAGAAAATGTACGTTCAGACAGAAAGAAAAACGGAAGTCCACCAAAACACAGGAAACTACTAAATGTAGCGTTTATAGCTACTAAAATTATATCGGATTACACGGAAATTCATCATTTTTTGAAACTATTTTTTTTATGTCTTAGTTACAAAAATAATGTTAGCCGATATAGAATTCGAAAATTCCCAATAAGAGAAAAACATTTGCTATATCTGGACCCATTATAATTTGCTGTGATTAATTCCTGTGGCTTAATGGTAAGACACTGCTGGCTTGAATTTTGTTTCTCAGATTACGACGGAAAAAGCGATTCAGTTTCTGTCGAGAGGCACGTTTTCCTTATCAAGACTTTAGATCACAGTACTGTTAGACATTTATTTCACTGTTTTATAAACACAGATGTCTACTCAAACATGTGTATCTACTGAATTTATTGTACGCCATGTAACCTGTGTGCTAGGCTGGCAAACTAATCCCTCTTGCAGATATCTGATCAGTCACTTTTATGATTGTTCAACACCCACGGAATCAACCTGTGATTTATACTGCAACGATGTTGAGTTAACGTTAGTTACAGTTTCCAGGGGAAAAAAATGCATAATTTGGATTTATCAAATGTCTGAACAAAACCTGTGCTTTCAAACCGCGATCATGACGATTTGTGACCTAATGCTAGTACACTAGTTAACGGCTTCTGATCAGGTTTTCTTTTTCTATGCAGTTGCGGTCATGGGGTTGGGATCAACCCGTGGTTTCAGTCACTTCCCAATGGTGTGGCACGTTGAGATCGTCTCTAAAAGCGGATATTCAAGAAGTCATCTCATTAAATCGAACAGAGTGAGATTTGAAAACGGGATTCATATTCGGGACGCTAACGTTCTAACCACGTGGCCACAAGTCCATTAAAGATAACACTTCTAAGTACAGTTTGTCGAAAAGTGTAGGTTTATATGGGAAACCACATGAATCGCTATCATAATGGCTTGCATGTTAGCATGTATGTTTCTTATCATTTCACCCCATGCAATGTAAAAAGCCACTAAGACGCAGGCGGGGGTTACTGAGTGCGATATAATAGAAGAAGAAGAAAAACATGATTAAGGAGAGAGAACAATAAAAGAATAGGAATTAAGGAAACAGAATCTAATGATTGACAATTTATTTAAATTGTTTAAGATCAAACTTGACTCCAAAGCAAGAAGCAAGAAGAGAGTTCCACAAAAAAATACGAGAAAAGAAATAGTTAGCATAGAACTTATGATTACATCTAGCCATTTCAATTGTAAAATGATGAAACTTTGCTGCCAAGAACTAGATGAAGAGTGCAAGAGAAGAAACTGTTGGCATAGAACTTATGGTTACATCTAGCCATTTCAATTGTAAAATGATGAGACATTGCCGTCAATCTTGTACTGCGCTTAAATGAATAAAGTCTAAATGTCAGAGATAAAAGTTCGTAAGAACAATTACTTTGAAAGTATTTATAGAAAGACTGAGGGAAGCTATTAATTCAGTGGGAAAGTGACCCAAGACAAAATGCTTATTTGGATTTTCTCAATGCTCTCTAAATATATAGCAGAAGAATCAGGCAGCAATATTCTAAGAATCGACGAATAATAAACTTGTAACACAGGAGACGACTCAGTGGACCAACTTTCCTAGCAGTAGACCTAGCAATTAATTCAATATAATCTTTCCACTTCATGTCGGCGGAAAACGTTAAAACGAGAAGGAGCAACGAGTCACTCTATTGGAGGTTAGCGAAAATATTAAGCCGAGAAAACCTTTTAAAATATAGCAGGTCGTAGCCGAACATAAACAAGTTCAAGTGGATGAATTTTATGCATTTATATTCGACCGCTAGATGAAATATATGCTAACTTTATTGAACACTAACCAACGTGCCCAATATAGTTTTATTTCTGAAACAAGCCATGGTTCTGCTTAATTGGTTTTATTTTATGATTCGTTTTAGTAATATAAATAATTAAATTTATTGCGAATAACTAAATTTATTACAAAACAAAAAGAGCTTAAAATCGACTAGGTGTTAAAATAGATTTATGCGGGGTCTGATTGTTTATCTACAATTCAGTATCAAATATTAAATTAAATATTTCAGTAAGAAAAAATTGAATAAAATAATTCAGTAATAAGATTAAATAAAATAATTCAGTAATAAAAATGAAAGC